GGGGGTGCACCCAGCACACGGTGGGGTCTGGGCTCAAGCACACACATGGGTCATATCCACTTTTTCATCCTTTTCATCCAAGCCTGGACAGAGCTTTGTCCCGGTCCCACCCCGTGGCTAAATCCACACAAACTCCTGCATCCTCACACACCCCCATTCACTCACAGGACAATGGGCACAGAATCTGGGTTTGGGGGTTTCCCACTGAATAATTCAAAGCCCGAATTGGTTATTTTGAAGCAGTTGGTCTCCTGCAGGGTGGGTTTTCCTCATGGATGAGAAATCACCTCTTGCCTTGGGCCCAGGATCACTGGGGAAGGGTTTGCACTGGCATTTGGTGATAAACAGGGTGAATGTGTCATCCTTACGGGCTGAAGGCTGTGCCCGGGAGGAGGAATGAGCCACTTTTAGCACTGTTCCCCTTCTGTTTATCTCTATTTATTTCTGTAAAAATTAAGAATTTTCTCCTTATACAAATAGATTTTAAAATATCTATATTAAAATCTCGAAAATAAAAAGCAGGAAACCCTCAGGTGAACTGGGATGGAGGGAGATGTTCAGCTCTGGCCAAGCTGAGTTTAATCAATTGAGCTGGATCCCAGTTGAATGGAAAATCATCAGTTTCCCACTTTTTCCCCCAGTTTAGATGTCACATTCCCACCTGCCCTTTTTCCCAGGACAGCATTGAGACCCATGCCCATCCTCGTGGTACTGGGTTCTTCCTGCACCTTCCCATCCCGGCATATTTGTGCTGGGTAATAGGGAGTCAAAGCTTGGTGCCAGATCACAAGGAGGAGGAAGGGGAGAAGCCAGCAACATACAGGGACCCCCCTCAGTACACCCCAAAACAGCCCAGACCCTCCCCTCTGTGTGCTGGGCTGCATCAAGAGGAGTGTGAGCAGCAGGTCAAGGGAGGGGATCCTGCCCCTCTGCTCTGCTGAGACCCCACTTGCAGCACTGGTGCAGCTCTGGTGTCCTCAGCATCAGAAAGACATGGAGCTGTTGGAGCAAGTCCAGAGGAGGCCACGAGGATGATCAGGGGCTGGAGCAGCTCCCATAAGGAGACAAGCTGGGCACAAT